TCTATAGTTTGTGGTAATGTGTCTCATCCTCGTCCTCTCTCTCTCTCTCTCTCTCTCTCTCTCTCTCTCTCTCTCTCTCTCTCTCTCTCTCTCTCTCTCTCTCTCTCTCTCTCTCTCTCTCTCTCTCTCTAGGGTTTCTGTTATCTTACCTAAAATACCTGAAACCTGCTCCTAGAGACACATTTATTTAATGAGCTTATTATATGCCTCATTATCTCTCTCCCTCTCATTCCCCCCTTCCTTTTCCTTCCCTCTTCCTTTCCCTTCCCACCCTCACCTAGCTACCCCCATCACCCCCTCCCCTCCCGTGTCCTGACTCAGGTACGTGGTTAGGGAGGGGTAGTTTCCTGTGCTGAGAGAGAGGGGTGGTGGAAGGGGTTGATGGAGGGGTTGATGGAAAGGGGTGATGGAAGGGGGGTGATGGAAGGGGTGGAGCAGGAAAGTGCAGTAGTAAGACCCCCTTTGACTGGTCACCGTCGGCTGCCCACGGGTAATAGGCTGCTTGCTCTCTCTCCTCAGGATTCACTGCAGTTTATGGCTTCCGGATGATGAGTAGAGGATTTGAAATTGTAAATTGTACTGGAAGCTATTTTTTTGTGCCTGAGTTTCACAGTTCATAAGGCAGAAGAGAGTTGAAGACTTCCTTAAAGGTTCAGTAATGATGGTGATGAATTTTGGAGGACGAGTATGGCTCTTGGGCGTGAAGTTATGTGTGTTCCATATATGTTGCCATGAGGTAGGCCACACATTGTACTATGTGATATCCACATATCCAAATAACAAAGAAAAAACGTGTTCTAAATTTTCAATAAGCTTTGTTAGAATTGTGTTGTTCAGAGGACTATAATTAGTGAACAAGTCCTGGGAGGCTCTCGTGTGGGACTCAAACAAGAGGGAGTTTAGCCCTGAGTTAAGGTTATCTTGAGGTTATCTTGAGATGATTTCGGGGATTTAGTGTCCCCGCGGCCCGGTCCTCGACCAGGCCTCCACCCCCAGGAAGCTGCCCGTGACAGCTGACTAACACCCAGGTACCTATTTTACTGCTAGGTAACAGGGGCATAGGGTGAGAGAAACTCTGCCCATTGTTTCTCGCCGGCGCCTTTGATCGAACCCAGGATCACAGGATCACAAGTACAGTGTGCTGTCCGCTCGGCCGACCGGCTCCCTTTTACCTGGTTACCTGGTCTCCGAGGTACCTTGTCTCGGAGGGTATACAGGTACGCTTCCTGCGGCGCACTTGTCATGGGAGACTGGTGTTGATTGTTTACAATCTGTGTTATTTAGCCCCACACCGAGGAGGAAATGGTGAGATTCACTACGATATATGGGGGTAAGGACTTGTGCTGCATCAAGATCACTTCGACATGGACGTTTGCTATTCGTTTGAGTCAGCCCCTACAGTCTTCTAGATCAGCTCCCACAGCCTGCTTAATTCAACCCCCCCGGCACAGCCTGTATGATTCAGCCCTCACAGCGTGCACGAATCAGCCCCACAGCGTGCACGATTCACCTCCCAGCCTACATGATTATTCCCACAATTAAAAGTAGATCCAGAATTAAAGAGACTAAGCTATGACGACGGAACTGAATCTAGCGACATTGGAAGAAAGTTGAAAGAGTGCGACATGATCCAGTCAAACGAAATATTCATAGGGTGTCGATTAAATAGACAACTGGACCTCACAAGCAGGTATGCTCAGACGCTGACCAACGTGCAATGTTTCATTCTCTTGTTCAACGTTTCATCCATTGGTTCATGTGAGACTGAGTGCTGGCTGGCTCACGTTTGACCTGCACTCTACTGCTCCACTCTCTCTGGCGAGAATGTCAACAAGGCTGCTCGATAGAAGGGCGTTTGTCTGTTCAACTCGGCCTCCTTAGGATGGTATTGAATCAATCTCTCCTCCTACAAAGAACGTCGCTTTTCACTCGTATGCGTTACCTAAGGCCAAAAATTGTCGTACTAGAAAATGGAAGCGGGTGGCGAAAGTGACGTGCTGTCCCGTTCTCTGTTTTGGGTCCTCTGGTAGGTTAGGAGAGGACACTTTAAATTGACCGTTTGCTTGGCGTTGGGGGACCTTAGGAGGATGGGCTGGTGTTGAGGCGTTGTGGCCGCCTTATTGATGGGGGGATGTTAAACCCTCGCTGGTTGAGAGAGGAAGGGAAAGGGTTGTGGGTAGTAGTAGTAAGAGGAAAGGAAGAATGACCCGCGCCTCTTTGTGAAGTGCTCGACAGCACTTGTCTGCCCCTCATGTGTGTAGTTGCCGAGGGCGCGCCTCCGCTCCTCGTGACTTTGTCCTTCATAGTGTGGGTCGGGAGGAGCATGTTCTCCGTCAGGAGTGTCTCCTGTCTGACCACATAATCCTGGGAAACTTGGAAATGGTTTAGGACACGTCAAGGACGCGAGAGAGGCTGTTGGCTGGCAGTAATGATGGTCCACCTCTGTAGGAAGCTTTTGTGTTTGTGGCATTTTGTGTGTGTGTATAGTGCACTCTTTACCTCTCACACGCTCTCTCTCTTGCTCTCTCTCTCTCTCTCTCTCTCTCTCTCTCTCTCTCTCTCTTTCTCTCTTTCTCTCTTTCTCTCTTTTCTCTTTCTCTCTCTCTCTCTCTCTCTCTCTCTCTCTCTCTCTTCTCTCTCTCCTCTCTCTCTCTCTCTCTCTCTCTCTCTCTCTCCTCTCTCTCTCTCTCTCTTTCTCTCTCTTTCTCTCTCTTTCTCTCTCTCTCTCTCTCTCTCTCTCTCTCTCTCTCTCTCTCTCTCTCTCTCTCTCTCTCTCTCTCTCTCTCTCTCTCTCTCTCTCCTTCGTTCCTTCCTTCCTTCCTCTGTTACAACCCATCCCCTCCCCACCACACCTCGCCACACACACACACACACACACACACACACACACACACACACACACACACACACACACACACACACACACACACACACACACACGAGAGAGAGAGAGAACGATTGACACACCTTGAAGTGCTCCTAAGGAATATTTACCCATCATAGTTGAGCAGTTCCCAGAGTGGTGTCCCGTCACACGGGCCAACAGTTTAACCATTATAAGAATACAAGTCACTGAGAGTTCACTGTCTTCCCATCGTGCTCCAGGGATTCGAACTAACGAAAGCGATCGACGTTCGTTGACTTATTTTGTGTCGGTTTTACGACACGAAGTAAATTTGGCTCAAATATACCCAAGGATGTTAATCGGGCTCACCATAGCCCGTGCTACTTGGAACTTTTTGTTCCAAGTAGCGAATCTTAAACAACAACAACAACCAAGGATGTTATTAGCAACGGAGGTTATTACAATAGAGTCATGTTAAGGGATCTTCATACTAATTATTTTACAGTGGGCGTGAATAATTAGGAGAGTATATTTACAAATCATGCAGCAAGTGTCTGTAAATTGAGGCTTTTATGACTCTTCAACTGAGTGGAGCAATAAATGGGTAATGGAATTCAATGTGGGCAAAGGCCATGTAATAGCAGGTTGGGAGAGAAGAAATAGGCCATAATCCGGGCAAAAACCATAAGATATTTTTTAAGTAATGGACTGAGAACAAATCAACACGTCAGGTCCTAAGATTTCAACTAAAGAAACATATAAGGAAAATGTAAACACACAGAAGAAACACAGGAAAATGTAAACACACAGAAGAAACACAGGAAAATGTAAACACACAGAAGAAACACAGGAAAATATATACATCCAGGAGAAACACAGGTAAATATAAACATCCAGGAGAAACACAGGTAAATATAAACATCCAGGAGAAACACAGGTAAATATAAACATCCAGGAGAAACACAGGTAAATATAAACATCCAGGAGAAACACAGGTAAATATAAACATCCAGGAGAAACACAGGTAAATAGACTGAAAGGGAACACAGGTGGAGACTGTTTGCATAACGAGGTCTTGAGACGTGCCTACGGAAGTGCCGGAGTGGCAACACCTACAACATGTGACGAAGCTCACGCTGCATCAGCCCAACCTGACATATGTTGCACAGTTACGGTGTGGCTTAACGGAGGCGGGTGTTTACGGTGTAGTGTTCGGTATTACCATGTGTAGACGGTCGCTTGAAGCACCCCCACCATTTTGTTCTGTAGCGCTGTGGGCTCGCAGCCGAATGGTCCCTCGTTCGATCCTCGGGCAGACGTTTTGGGCATGTTTGCCAGCCCTCTGATGACTTCAAGCGAATGTTGTGCTTGTATTCTAGGAGAGCAGTCGTTGTCCATTGGGGTAGAGAGGATAGGTGTTCCCTCGATAAGTTCAGGTTGCTTCCTGTCTATCGACACAGGGGAACCTTATCATGGAGGTAGGGAACATGTCTACAATGTGACGTTTAGGGAGAATGACCCAGAAGCAGTGGTTGGTTGAGAGATCTCTCAGTCAGAGCAAGCGTCTAGCAGCATTCTGCAGCAACGCTTGAGGTGTTTGGCTGACCATTACAGCTATGAGTGTGTTGGGTGAAGCTCCCCACCCAGGGACTGGCGGGGAGAGAGAGAGAGGGGGGGGGGGGCAGATGCAGGGCGGGGAATAAGGCGAAGAGAAAAATGAAATATATGCTCCGATACTCTGGCTCTTGGTATGAGGTGGTATGTTTACGGTGTGGGTTGTTGCATGAGAGATAGAGTGCGTGTGTGTGCGCGAGATATATTCTTGAATATTTGTGCGTTTTTGTACTTGAATTTTTGCGCGTCTCTTAGTTTCATTTTGCGTGTTCAAGATGACGTTCATTTCCACCGTGAGTCGGTTGTGTTCAATATGCGACTATGTATTTTTGTTTTCACATATTTTCATATCATGTATTTCAAGCTCAATTACATCTATACTAGAAATTAAGACACTTATTAATCTGTATTCTCTCTCTCCCCCCTCCTCCCTCTCTCCCTCCTCCTCCCCTCACCTCTCTCTCTCTCTCTCTTACATAGAAAATTAACCAAACTTGATATAACAAACCCAGCCTGACCACCCTCTCCTCCCACAGTGCTG